AAAAAAAAAAAAAAAAAAAAATCATTCTGTCATTCTGGCTGCTGTTAGAAGAATGCCCATAATGCAACAGGGAGATCAGAGACAAGACTGGTAACCGATGTGTCGGAGTTGAGACTCAGTTTCGCAGATTGCATTGGCAAGTGACCAAGTGGGTGGTGCCACGATTGACAACCCTATTTCTTACCTCACTGAGTGGATGTAAAAGGATTAAACCACACTGGGGAAGACAAGTGCTCAGCCCTGAGGCACCCTCACACACCTCGGCCCTTGTGAACACTAGCGTTCCTGCCGAAGCACCCCTACTTACCCCGCTGAGCAGAGCCTGAGCCTGCAGCCTTCAGACACCTGGAGAAAGCCACATGCTCCGCCTCCCGCCCCCCGCAAGGGCGTGTCAGCTACAAGGGGCGTGTCCTCCCTAGGCCCCGCCCCGCGCTGCGTGCCCACGTTGCACCGGCCTTCGCGCCAGTCCGCTGGGCTGCGGGGACTGCGGCGCCTGAGGGAGTCGCTGACGGGCAAGCTGAGTGGAGGCTGGCGGACGAGCCACAGCGACCTGCGGCAGGTGAGCTGTCTGCGCCCTCCCGGGGCCTTCCTTCCGCCCGGCTCCTCGGACTGCGCCGCGTCCTTCGCGGTCACTGCCTCGGTACAGGCCTTCGTACCTGGGCTCAGCCAGGCCACAGCCCTCTGCGTCCCCGGCGCGGGTCTGAGGGGAGACCGGGCAGGCCGGAAGCTGAGTGAGGCCGGGCAGAAGGACGAAGACGAGCGTGGAGGGGCTGTCAGGGGAGGGCGAAACCCCGGACGCCGCTCTCTAAAATCGTCTCCCCGGGGGCGCGGGGAGGCCTGAGCGGCTTGCTTTGGCGTCCCCGTTGGGCCCACCCCCTCCTAGCGTCACGGCCGTGCTGGTTGAGTTGACCCCCGGGGTCGTAGCTGGGGACGTCGGCGGTGCTGACAGGGGATGCCGGCAGAGATTGGAGCCCGGCTTAGCGGCTTCCCGGGCTGTTGGCACTGGCCGGGTCTCTGCCCTTCCTCCAGTGCCCTTATCTCTATAGGAAGTGCCCCTTGAGTGGGTGTCGTGACTTCACGAGTGAACCCTGGTACAGCTTGGAGCAGAGTCGGACTGGGAGGGATCAAGTGTGGGGGTAGCCGGCTAGTCCGGACACGGGTTTACCTGTCACCTTCTGAGCGCAGTGCTCTGGGTGCATTAATTACCCTGCAGAAGCTGCCAGGACCTCCTTGCAGTCTTTGCACGAGGCCTGCCTGTGTCACGCCATTTAAATCGCGTCTGGGCCGGGGCGGTGGCTCACGCCTGTAATTCCAGCACTTTGGGAGGCCGGGCCTGGCGGATTGCTTGAGGTCAGGAGTCCGAGATCAGACTGGTCAACATGGTGAAACTCCCTCCCTACTAAAAATACAAAAATTACCCTGAGATGTTGGGGCATGCCTGTAATCCCAGCTACTCGGGAGGCTGAGGCAGGAATCCCTTGAACCTGGGAGGCAGAGCCTGGGCGACAGAGCGAGACTCCATCTCAAAAAAAGAAAAAAAAAAAAGAAAAAAAAGCCCTGCATAATACTTTCCACTGGAGGAAGCCCTCTCCTCTCAGCCCCTTGCAAAGCCTTGTGAGCTGATCATTTTTCCACGTGTAAAACGAGGTCAGTGTTAAGACTCAGCTTAGGCTGGGCAGGGTGGCTCACGCCTGTAATCCCTGCACTTTGGGAGGCCGATGTAGGTGGATCACCTGAGGTCAGGACTTAGAGACCAGCCTGGTCAACATGATGAAACCCCGTCTCTACTAAAAATACAAAGAATTAAATGGGCAGGGTGGCGCATGCCTGTAATCCCAGCTACTGGGGAGATTGATTTTGAAGGATCACTTGAGCCCAGGAAGTGGAGGTTGCAGTGAGCTGAGATCGCATCACTGCACTCCAGCTTGGGTGACAGAGTGAGACCCTGTATCAAAAAAGAAAAAATAAATATCACAAGACAAAATTTGTGCTTACCAGGAGTTCACAGTTAAATAAGACATATAAAAGCTTACTTGGTAAAATTAGAAAAAGTTATCAGAGACAACATTTAGGTTTAAACACTGGTGAGGGTGTGGGAATTTGTAGAGCCTTGGAAACACACACACTCATTGAATGACCTCATCTAAATGGGGATGTGAAGAGGGAAATCCTGTGATTCCTGCATTGTCTGACTTGATTTCCTTTTTTCCTTTGCTGTGGCAACATGTTGAAATGCTGTGAGTCACCAAAAGGGGGAACATGAGCAACTCTACAAATGCCAGTGCCAATGAGTTACAGACAATAAAGCATTGACTGCCTTTAGCTCACCCCTCATCAAATCTGTTGAAAACTTGTAAAATTGGACAGCTAGAGCTACCTTGATTTTTTGGTTTCCTTTTAACAGCTGACTCTCTTCACAGGACATTTGGGCTCTACATCAGGATTGCACCCAAAACTGGAATATCACTCCTCCAGGAGGGCGATATACTTTGAAAATTAGAATTGTGGGCCCAGCGCAGTGGCTCACGCCTGTAATCCCAGCACTTTGGAAGCGGAGGGTGGATCGCGCTGAGGTCAGGAGAAGAGACAGCCTGGCCAACGTGGAGAAATCCTGTCTCTACTAGCAAAAAAAAAGAAAAATTAGCCTGTGCATGGTGGGACTTGCCTATTAATCTGAGCTTACTTGAGAGGCTGAGGCAGCGGAGGAATCACTTGAACCTGTGAGGCGGAGGTTTTCGTGAGCTGAGATCGCCCACTGCACCTCCAGCCCCCTGCGGCGACCAGAGCCGAGACTCTGTCTCCCAAAAAAAAAAAAAAAAAAGAAAAGAAAATTTAGAGTTGTGTATTTCAGGTGTAAAAGTTTGTGAAGATGTCAGCTGTCTAAAACTCCTGGAGAGAAAAAGAGATTAAAAACTTGACCCTAGGACTGTGGGGGTGCAGTGCTGCGACACCGTGTGAATCCCGAAGCACTTTGGGAGGACCGGTGGCAGCGCTGATCCCTGAAGTCAGGAGTTCGAGACCAAGCCTGGCTAAACATGTTGAATAGCCCGGCGTCTCTTACTTAAAAAATACAAACGAATAGCCTTGCAATTTCGAGACTCAACCTGGCGTAACATGGTGAAACCCTGGTCTCTACGCTAAAAATACGAAACATTAGCCTTGCAAAAAGTAGCCTGGGTAATCCCAGCTACTCGGGAGACTGAGGAAGGAAAAAATTGCTTTGCGCCAGAGCGGGCAGAGGGGCTGCAGTGAAGCTGAGATCGGTTGCCGAGTTGCACTCCAGCGCTGGCGATGAGCGAAACTTCGTCTCAAAGAAAAAGAAAAGATATAGGCCGGGCGCACGGTGGGCTCATAAGCGCTGTAATCCACCCTGTGTTGGGGAGCCGGAAGTGCGGATCACGACGGTCAGAGGATCGAGAGCGCATCCTGGTCCTAACACTCGTGAAGAGCACCGTCTCTACTAAAAAACCATACAAAAGAAACTAGAGCGCCCGGGTGAGGTGGCGGGTGCGTGTGCGTCCGTGTAGGCCGCATGCTACTTTGCTGGTGAGGCTGAGTGCCAGTGTTGCGAGAAATGGCGTGGACCCGGGAGGCGAGCTTGCAGTGAAGTGAGATCGGCCACTGCACTCCGAGCCTGGGCGTACAGAGCAAGACTCCGTCTCAGAGAAAAGAAAGAAAAAAAAAAAAAAAAAGATGTAGCGGATGAACAAATAAGTGGCATGGTGGCACATGCTTATAATCTCAGCTACCTGGGAGGCTGAGGCAGGAAATTGATACTTGGTGAGCCTAAGTTTTTGGTGTCTTTGGATGCTGCTTGTTGATCTAAGGGGTTTCCAAACCTTTCTTTTTTGGTAAAATTGGGATTATGACTGGGAACCTGTTTTTGGAGTTTCTCAGGTGATTCTTGTTTGGGGTCCTTGTCTAAGGCACAGGCTGGAAAGAGGAGGGAGTGGACTAGTAGGGAAGATAGAGCGGTAAGCGAATAGAATACCTGGGGAAAGGGACACCGAAAGAGGTGATTGTTGTGTGGTGAACTGTGCTGTCAGTGTGTATATCAGAGGCCAACGAAGTGGTTATTCTCTTCACTTGGCTTAGGGAAAAAATTAATTTTTGTTTCACAAATAGATTCGTTTCCTTCCCAGGAGTATCATAGGCCTAATTACTGTCATAGTTCTCAGTAACTTTAAAAAGGCTGTGGGGAAGAATGGCATAACAGACTGGCCTTTGCTGTGGCAACATGTTGAAATGCTGTGAGT